ATGCGTAATTCCAGCTCCATAAAGATAAAGTGTTTAAGAAGTTTAACTGCTTAAATAAATCGTGATTATAAAATATTCAAGAAAGCAGTAGACAATTTACGCTGAATTTAGAAATAAGCTACTGACCAAATTAATATAACAAAAAACCTCTGCATGTTAAATTAACTTATTCTTAATTCATGCAGTACAAGTACGGATATAAGTATTTAATAATTGCTCTCTTATTTTTAAAATAAATAAATTCCTAAATTTTAACATAACCCTCTACTTTGAAGATTAGACTCTACACCGGTTACTTCGACCTCAGTCAAGTCGCAGTTCTGTTTCGACGCACTCCGCTATAATTGTTATAGCTCTTTGATATACCACTAATTCAACTGCATCTATTAATCAATAGTGATTGCTAAACTATTCAAGCAAGTAATGGAAAATTTACGCTACAGTTCAGAAATAAGGTATCGTTCAAATTAGAAAATAAATATTACTGCTGGCTAAATTAACTGATTCTTGATTTATACAATATAAGCATGGAAATAAATATTTATTAATTGTCTAATTATGTTAAAAAATAAGAAAATGTCTTTATTTTGTAAATGTACACTTGTACTTCTCGCTCAGTCTAGTCGCAGTTCTGTTACAATTGTAATAGCTCTTTGATAAATCAAAAGTTCAATTACATTTACAAATGAATATTGACGTAAGCTATTAACTAGCTAAGAACTAGAGGGGAAGTCCAGAGCTCTGCCGTAAAAGGGAATCAGCCAATACAAAAATTGTCTGTGAAAGGTTTTTTTTGATATAGAGGGGAGAAGTAAAAATTGCCATTATGGGGTGCGGCTGGAAAATGTTCACTTTTAGGAAGTTATTCAACCTCCAAACAAACTCCCTTAAGTTCTATTGTTTTTTTTTTTAAATATGAATTATTTGAGTTTTTTTTTTTTCATCCTCCAACTATACTAGAAGTAATGAAAAATTTACACGGCCATTTCGGAATTACAAAAATCATCAAAACAATATGCAACTCAAATTTTATGGAATCAATATTACCGAATATTTAATAGTTGACCGTTACATTATAAAGGAAGGAGATGGTTCGGGGTGGCGGTCATAAATTGGCTAAATAGTGGCAAAACTATTTTATTTAAAGCCAACGTTTCTACCCGACTTTTCAAGTCTTCTTCAGGGCTAGAACAGGCAAGATACAAAAAGATAGAGAATTGTGGAAGTTACATAATATTTAAACAAAAAATTATTAGCAATGTGAATAAGCTTATTAAAATTATAAACAGTATGTACATTAAAATATAAACAGAGTAAGCTAAGTAACAGTTTTGTATCTTGTCCGTTCTAGCCCTGAAGAAGACCTGCTAAGTCGGGTCGAAACGTTGGCTTTAAATAAAATAGTTTTTCCACTATTTAGCCTATTTATGACCGCCATTCCGGATCATCTCCTTGCTTAATAAATATTACTGTTTGTTAAATTAACAAAATTTTCATATATGCTCTAAAAGCATAAGCATACATATTTAATAATTGTCCAATTACGTTAGCAATGAACTTTACACATCGTAGTTTGATCTCAGTCTAGTCGCAATTCAGTACCGAATTATTTCGCAATATTTTTTTTTTACTTCTTTGACACATCAGAAATAATGATGCTAATAATGATTTTTAGACTACTCAAGAAAATAATGGAAAATTTACGCGACAATTCAGCCATAAGTAACTATTAAAATTATTGAGAAAATATTAATCCTTGTGAAATTAACCTATTATTAATCATAAAAGACTGAATAACAAATTATTATAAGGTTGCTGTACTGGAAAACATTATATATGAACAATAATCAATGATATATATTAGAATTTATTAAATTCTCGTACACATCTTTTAGATTTTCTATAAAGCTGAAAAAGCCCTACATTCTATAAGGACGTGCTTTACTGTTTTGGTGGCTGAGGTGTTCAATCTTCGCAGAATGTAGCCGTGGGAAAACACCGTTTCCGATCCGAAGGCGATTCATTATCTCTTCTTCTTGTCCTGAACTTTTCAATGAGGAACATATTTTTTTATTTCGCAGTTTTGCAGAACTCATTCTACATTAAAACCCCTTTGTATTCCAAAAATAGAAAGGTTATTAGTACAGAAAAAAAATTAGGACACTCCCAGCATCCATGAGATGGATATATGTTGTAATTCGTACATAGAGCGTAAATGAGAGAGCTTTGATGGCGATGACTTCTTTCGCGAAGGCAGAGTAAGCTACTTAAAGCTCTTCGCTTTCGGTAACTCGAAATTTGATGCGTATCTATAAACGAAGCTATATTTATAAAATTTATTTATTAATTCTTATATATATATATATATATATATATATATATATATATATATATATATATATATATAGAAGTATATATATATATATATATATATATATATATATATATATATATATATATATATTGTTTTTTCAAGAGTTGATATTTTTTCAAGATAAAATAATTAGTTTTTTTAATGAAATATTATACTAAGTTTAAGTAGGCTACAAATGATACTTAGGAAAATTGAAAAGATATCGGCTAGTAGTCGTCGAAAAGAATTGCTTATTTATAATAATATCATACAGATGGAAAGAGCAGCTGAAGAGAAATTCAATGTTATTCATAAAACCTCGTATGACCGACTCAAGCAATGCCTGGAAGACAAAAACTTGATATGTCCAGGCCATGGAACCTATATCAGTGAATGATTTAATCATTTCAACAACAATGCCAGTGTGTGTGTAGACTTTGATTGCGTGTGATAGATAAAAATTAATCTCAATTGCTCTTTCATGCTAAGAGTGTTTAATTTATCTTTTATAATAATTCTTTTAATGGCTTTCGGCATTACCTTTATCGAATTGTAAAACTAAATGATATCTGATGATTTATAATTTATTCTGGCAATAAATACATGTACTCAGCAATAAAAATATCTCTATTTAAGTTGACGTTCTTATTGCATGGCTAAACATTTTTTTGAGATACCCAGATTAATATATCTGTGCTGTACACGAAAATCCACTATCTAGTATCATAATTCTTTTAAAACAATAAATACCAGCATTTTTACTAATTTACTAAATACTATTGGTTATTAAACTTGTGGTTATTACCGAACTTTACATGCCATGGGATAACAATATTTCCCAAATTACCCCGAAATATGTTTCAACTCTCAAATAGTCCTGCTATTTTGTGATTCTATTCATCATCAAATGCGTCGATTCCGGAGTTTCCAGTCGCTCCCAGGTCAGTTGGTTTGCCGAGTTGAAGTGGTGATATCTTTTTACATTGGATAAATTTTTTAGGTAACCTTTTCTTAAATTTTAAAACCAAAACATCTTCTTACCTTCTTAATTTGTTTACTTTTTGTTCCTCTGCCTATTCTTTAAACACGAGGCCCCAGCTCAGAAACCTATGCATTCCATTTTATTGAATTTTTTTCTTTGAAAAATCTGTGCTAATACGTGCTACCTTGTTTTGGAATTCTTTAACTGCTTCCATAAGCAAAAGCCCATCTTCAAAATCATTTAAACGCCAATCTTTTTTCTATTTTCTTTTCAGCTATCAACCTTTCCAAAATTTGTAAGAATTAAATATTCGTATTTTAGTGTTGTCGGCCTTATTTTACTGTTATTACTAATATCGGACATGAGCGTCTGTTGCTATAGTGCCCTCCATCAGTTTCCACTGGTTTCAAATAACAGTGACGCGGCTGAGAGAGAAGCACTGGGATCTCCTTGAGTCCTGCCTTATCTTCCACGTCGGGGAATAAGGCATGATTCAGAGTCCCCTGGGTGAATGTAAATATTGTACATAGGTGTGAATGTGATTTATTTACTTTAATTTCATCTAGCTTTTATCTATTATTTCATTTTTTTTTTTTTTTTTTTTTTTTTTTTACACAGGCATGCCAATTTACTTATTTTATTTTTTTTTTATATTTCTTTCTCTTTATTATTGATATTAATTGTATACACATATTGTGTGAATGAATCATGTAGCCTTAATATTAATGCCCTTCAATGTGGCAGAATGTATTAATATTCAATAAAAAAAATAAAAAAAACTAATATCGCTTACCTGTGCAAATAAATAAACATACGGGCACTCATTACCCAACTAAGCGGAACGACACTACGGTTATGTGCTTGAATTTTCCTCTAAAAGCTATCTAACGGTTTTTCTCAGTTGGCTTAATCGATTTTTAAGTTTGATGGCTCAAATTATTTTTGGTGGGATCAACTGAGTGTTTTGAATAGTTTGAGTTAAAACCTCTTTCCCGCTATTGAACAAAATCTGTTTAATCTATTTGCAAAAAGGTATGTAAGGATTTTTTGAGCAAATGGCAGGATCGATTTTTATATTCGATGGAGTAAATTATTCAGTGAGATCCCGTTTTGACACAATTTGAGCTAAAATTAATGGCCCATTTTTGAAAATTTGTGTTTTATCAATTTGCCAAATACTACTTAACGATTTGGTGCACGAGCGGCCTCATCGAATTTTAAGTTTGGTGGCTTAACTTATTATTAATATGCGAAGGTTTTATTTTAATTTTAATATTACGTAATTTTATAGCCTAATAATTCATTGATATCAATGATGTAGCACACAAAAGAAAGGTGATTGATATAATATATAATTCAGAATAAAATTTATTTTTCTTAATATTCGTTTGAAAGATTGGACTAGCATAATGAATTAATGATTTTAAGAAATAGGTATGTTGTTTTTACCACTAAAACAACTATGTTACCTACTACACACCATAGATGTAGCGTAGGGAGGATGTGAGTTATGTCAAAGATTTAGGTAGGGATGAAGGATGGGGGGTCACCCTCCTTCCTCCCCTTGCTATCTCTTCTTCGGCCATTCCTTCTCCTCTGGCCATCGGTCTCTTCCAACTGGCATCATTTGTCTCACTGCACTGTTTTATCTGGGCTTTCCCATTGATGAATGGCGCCATTCACGATCTACAAAGGTTTATTGTATTTTTATTGTCGTCGGAAGTTTCAATAACCCTAAACAGGTAAAAAGGAAATTTCCTGAAAAATTAAACTTATCTGTTTAATCTAAATAATTTAAAAATCTCTAAATAATATATATATAAATCTCAAATTAAGGGTATAAAATTCTATAATGTTTCTGGTCACCCAGTAGCACTCGAAGAAGTATTGGAAGTTTTGAGAATAAAATACTCTGCTTGATAAGCATAATGATCTGGGATCGAAGAACTAGAGCTTGGAAGAGAAGGCCCAATAAAGAACTGCTTACTGGTAAATTAATATCTAATCATATGAAGAAGACAAAGATGGCTTGGGTGTGTAGCTCAAAGCCATCCACCAAGAAGGCTGTACACAATTAACCCCTCGATAGTTGTCAAAAGAGTCAAAAAAAAAAAAAAAAAAATGTATATATATATATATATATATATATATATATATATATATATATATATATATATATATATATATATATATATATGATGCTGCAGAATCATATTGAAAAAAAAGCGAAAAAAAATAGGTAGAGGTAGAAAAGATGTGGCCAAATATCTACATGGTCTGTGAGCCAACATAAAAATATATCATATGTGATAAAATTATGAAACAATATAATTATAATAGATACAATGTTTAGGAGGCTATTTTATGTTAGACAAGAAAAACTAAATGCATTTATTCAACAAAAAACTTTTTTTATTTTAATAAAAATAAAATTATATTTATATTTTTTTACTTATTTTCATTATTTAATTTCTTCCATAGTTGTTTAATGTATATAACCGACTTTATTTACAACTACTTAAGGTCATATGTCGTAACCTAACTCCTGTCGCCATTTCTTTTTATCAAAACAGTCTTCCTACCGAAGTCCCTTGGCTGCAATAGACTCATCTCCTCCCAACCATCTCTTTTCCGGCTGATTTATTTCTCTCTTTGCCAATCGTACATGCTGAACTATTCATTCAGAATACTTTCATTCACGTTTAGAACTATTTTATAACTGTTTAAAACTTCCATAAGTTTTAAACTATTATTTATGTGGTGTGAATAAAATTATTGTTCACTGTAAATAGTGTTCATTTGTGATAAAATATGATGTTATTGAAAAAAAAAGTAGACGAAATGGTGCGTTTTTATTGCAATCAAAAACATGAAAATTGGAGAAAAAACAGGAACAGAAAAACGAAAACCTTTAGAATATTTAATCACAATAACTAAAAACGTTTTAAAAGCGATTATCGAATCAGGACATTGGTAATGTATATCTCGCACAAAACAAATCAGAGGGCGTGGTTTGTTATGCAGAATGAAACATTGACTATTTGTTTGTGGAGATATGGGTTCTTTTTTTTTTAAGATTTCTTTATTGAATATTAATAGTAGTAATATTACATTTCGTAATAACTAAAGACATTTGTTATAGTAATACAGAAGTTCTATCAAACTTAATGTACAATAAATAAAATAAAAATAATAATATTATATATATTTATAGCAATAAGAAACTTCAAATAATCAAAATAAAAACTTTGATACAGGCATACTTTTATAAAATATTTACAAACATCTATACAAAAGAACTCCAAGTCGATATGCTTATTTACAAAAGGTCTCGGGGCCACTGCCGCTACATCCTTTGAAAAGAATCGTAGGGATATGTACTAGATTTTGAAAGGAAATTTGGAATATAAATTAGGTTCTGATGAAATTCGAAAAAAAAATCTCTATTATTCAAAGGATATTATACTGAAATAATTGAACACATTTGATATTAGAAAAACTATCTGTCCTCCACAGTTCTATTTCGTAAATTGAAATTGATGTCAGGATTGTCTTGTAGAAACAGAATTATGAAACTCAACCGTCGAAAAGTGAAAAAAAACTTTATTGAGAAAACAAATCAAACAATGAACATTATGACATGCTAAGTACTACTGATACAGATCTCTTGCTTACTGACTAGCCTAGGATTTTATGGGGGTATATATAGGTAGAGGAGAGGGAGGCTGCTCAGAATGTCAAGTCAGCATAGTTCGTTTCCATAACTATTCCCCCCTTAAAAAGTGAGGTCCTCCGAACTAGGATGCTTGTTTTTCGGTAAGGTAGGAATGCCACGCTCTAGACCTGGCGTCGCAAAAGGATGATAGCTCGATGGGATTGCTGATAGGTGGGTGATCAGGAGTTACAATGTTTGTTAGAGGTGTGGGGTTGTTAGTCTTATTTTTAAAAATGTTTTTAAATTTATAATAATAAAATAATATATGGTGAATAAACAGATATATACATATTATCAAAGTAAGATATAACATAATGTCAGAATGAGTAATTACAGAATAATCTTCTAAAGGTTCTATATTTAGAGTTCCTAAGTCTAATTTATTTACATCATCGTAGCTATAATTAGTAAAAATTACATTATCAATATTATGCATAGATATTATGGGTATATTTACATGTTCTTCGTATCGAATAACTATAGATTTATTTACAAATATTTCATTTCTGTCAAGGCTTATTAAACCAGTGATTGGTAAATGATATAACATGGTTTCTGTTATGTTAGTTTCAATAGTAGATAAATTAAAAGTGAGATATTGATTAAGGCTAGGTATAAGTTTAATAAATGGTTTTTGTGAAATTCCTATTATTTTACAATGTTCTAATTTTTGGTTGTTACTTAATTCTAATATACACTTATCTTCTACTAAACTAAGACTTTTGTAATTACAATAAAAGTTAGAATTATATTTTAAACATTGTCCTTTATGAAACTGGTTATTATGTCTTATAACTAAAGTATTTTCAACTGGAATAGTTACAATGTTTTCCTTATAAATAATGGGATATGACAGTATGTAATATGTAGTCGAAGGGGCAACCCTTAGTGGTAATTTAATAAAGAAATAAATCATTCCTGAATCGGACATTGAACAAATTGCTTTACTTAATAACCAATTTAATTCTACGTCTCTTGTTAGTAAATTTTTATATGGAGTTTTGATGTTTTTAATTTCGTCATACGATAAAATGCTGGGGTGTGTCATGCCTAGTTTACATTGTTCTAATGCGTCTTCTGTTTCTTGTAATTGTGCTTCTATGAGAGTTAAATATGCTAAAAGGTCATGATATGATAATTTGATGATTGTGGAATCTAATACTTTATTATTGGTTTCTATATTATTTTTGAAGTTATTTAAAATGATAATATCTTTATTTAATTCTTGTGTTAATTTCCGGTTGAGGCTAAGCCTAGCTTCCTCGTTATGTTCTATGTGATATAAATTACTTTCAACCTTTTGTAGGATGGTGTCATATTTTTCTTTGTCATCTGCATCCATAGTTCCCGTTAACCAACTGAGAGCAGATCCTAAACCATTAATTATACCACGTTTTTCTCTTTTTATAAATTTACGCTTAATAAGGTGGGTGATTTGGTTAGTTATTCTCTCATACCTCTTATCTAATATTTGATGCAGCATTTTAAATTCTTTTTCTGTCTTCAAACTATTAATATGTGTTTTTATTGTTGTGATTTCATCATTTAGTTGAGATAGATTCTTGTAATGTAGGAAAGTGTACCATTCCGTCATCACATACGACGAATTCATTTGAATGATCGAAGCCCCAGGGCCATTCGACAGCGTCTGGATTTTCAACGTTTCTACCTGGAGGGTCCGAGCCAGAAGAATTAAGATCAGAAGAAACTTGAAACAGTCCTTCATCTTCAAAATCTGCAACAGGAAGATTATTGGGATTAACCCTCAAATCCTGAATTCGTTTTTCGATTTCTTCATTTAATTTTTGTGCGTACACATTATCTGCTAGACACTCATTCTGATTTGTGCCTTGAATGGTAGTAGGTTTTCCTGAATCGTTTTTCTTTTTCCTGGGCCTTTTTATTTGGCTTGCATGTAATTTTTTCTTTTTACCCTTAGCGGTTTCAAATTTGCCATTAGATTGTTTACCTTTTTGATATTTTGGATCTTTTTTATTGGAACTGGGTTTTCTAATAAAAAATTCTTCTGGTAATTTAGGGATATCTTCTCTAGTTTCATTCCTTTTGTTTATATATCTTTCTTTATTTTTTTCTATGTTTGCTTTTATAGCTTCTCTGGTGTTTCTAAGTTTTTCATGATATTCTTGAACCAAGTATTCCTGAACTTCTGGATTTTTATTGTAGTTGTCTCTACCGATTCCAAATGTTATTTCGTTCGGACTTAATTTTAAGTCTTGGTTCATTGAATTGTTATACGCGATTGTTGCTAGTTCTAATTTTTCTTCTTCAGGCGCGGTGGATTGAGTATTTATTATTTTGATTAAGTCTATAAACGTTGAGCTTGCTCTATTAAGTAATCCTAACGAATTTGGATGGTTAGGTGTTGTCTCATGTTTTTCAATTTTTAAATATTTTAAAAAGTCTCTAAATAAATTATTGTCGTATTCACGGCCATTATCTGTCGTGATTACTAATGGTTTTGGGAAATGGACCAAATATTTCCGCAGTGTTGCCATTGATTCAATAGCGTTTGCTGTCTCGCTATATCTTGTGAATATCTTTTTTGAGAAGGTGTCCGCTATTATATAAACGTAATAATTTCTCATATGGAGAGTGTCCATCATAATTGAATCGAAAGGTTTTTCAGGTGTTGGTGTAATCATAAATTTAGGTCTAATAGGTCGTCTGTCATATTTAATTGAATTACATGTATCACAAGCATTAATGATATCGGTGATATGGTCTTTCATATTTGGCCAATAATATTTTGTTTTCAATTTTAAATATGTTTCATTTATTCCTCGATGGCATGATTTTCCGATATGCTGATCTAAAATCAATTCTTTTTGTTGGGTTTTGTCAGTTATGTCTGGTAATAATAAAGAGTATTTCTTTATTCTATTGGTCGGAAATTTTTCTCTGATAATGTCTGTGACTTTATTATACAATCCTTCGTACCAGTTAGTCTCACTCTCAATTCCTTGGATTTTGGGAAGACAATAAACGCCATAAGTTGTATTGGGTTTTAGTATTTCCAATAACTTCTGTTCTAGTTGTTCTGCGTTTTGGTTATATGGATAAGTTAGTTCTAAAATAATTCTATTTTTATTAAATACTTTTTCTATCTTAGCCTCATTAAATCCCTTCATGATGACTAATTGATTTTTCTCTACGTTGACAGGTCTTTGACCATCGTCGACGATAAGGATCCTATTATCTGAAGACTCGGCAGAGTGTTGGGTATCTAGAGATGAGTCATCCTCTTCTGCGATATGATACATGTCGAACTCGGGTGTCTCTGAAACATGCTTGTCAACTGGATGTCGCGACAAGTGGTCAGCAACCTTGTTCGCTTTACCCTCG